CCGCAAGTATAGTCTTAAGGTCTCACCTACATCCAGGGGTGAGCGTCATCGACTCCCGAGGCTCTAAATGTTGGCAGGACAATCTCTTGGTTCTCATAGAGGTCACTTTAAGATTAGAACCCAGCATAGGGATGAGGACCACTCGATCTGGGAAAAATTTTAAAAATGGATCTTTACAGCCAAGGTTCCCAATTTGGGAGACTCTTTTTCACAGATGTAACTGCCACCAGAAAGGCCGCCTTGACGGAGAGCATCCTCACTATGGGTGGCCCAGCTGATTATGGCACGACTCCAGAGAAGAAGTTGAGGAAAAGTGGCAGATCCCATTTTGGGAACCTCAGTTTCCTCTGGGACCTCAACCATACTGCCCCTTTGAAGAATTGCCGAACCAGAGAGTGGTCAACCCATGATACTCCAGTGAAGCCCGAGATGGCTGACACTTGAACCCTGAGGGTGCTCACTGACAGGAGCAGGTCCTGGCCTGACTGCAGGAATCCCAGGACATCCTGAACCATTGGATTACTAAAGGATCCACCCATGGTCGAGATATAGTCCACGAACTTAGACCAGACTCTTCCATAGACCCTGTTGGTACTTGGTCTTCTGGCATTCATCAGAGTAGGGATGACTTCAGCAGGACAGCCTAAGGCCTCCAACCTCCCCCTCTCAAGAACCAGACCATTAAAAGAAGCTGGGCTGAGCAAGGATGAAGAATGGACCCCTGCGACAGCAGACCTGGCTTGAGAGGGAGAGGAACCAGATCCTGAAAGCTGAGCTGTGCCAGTAAAGGAAACCATGGTATCTTCGGTCAGTATGGAATTACAGCCACTACCTCTACCACTTCTGCTCTGAGCCTCCAAAGAAACCTGAAGATGACAGGGATTGGGTTTTTCAAGTTTTCCTATTGGAGAGGCCAGAGTGCCCCTTAACACGATGCCTGGAGGAGGAACAAGAACTTCTCCTATGAAGCCTGGAGATGGAAGGAGACCTGTGGCATCTGGATTTAGAGGACGAGTGATGGCGCCGAGACCTAGACACATTCCCATCATCGTGTACTGTACTGTATAGTGGTGATCAGACCTAGAAGGGTTGAGAGAGAGAGAAGAAAAAAAGACACAGAATAGGGGATAGTTAAAAACCACAGAAAAGCGCCAGTGGGGGATCAAGGGGCCAAAGGCATCCATCCGTACCTATTGCGCAGGGGGCTGACCACAAATCCATGCCGGGTCAGCTACAACCAAGCTGTAAAAAAAAAACTTGACACTCAGAATCCCAGCAGACCACCAGAGGGGCAGGAGGGAGCAGGTACTGACCCTCACAGTGGACCACAGCGCTTGGGAAAGCTTCCACATTCAGCACGCAGGATTTAAATTTTTACATTTGTCGCCAAAGCTATGACGTCACCGCTGCCTTACTGCACATGCGACGAGCCACAGGACACACGAGCGTCGCCATATTGCCATACTGCACACGCGCATGAAGCCAAGCCTTGTTCCGAGGCCGACTCACGCAGTACGCCATAGACCGCCCCAGACCCGGAAGAGGAAGCCTGGAGCACACCATTGTAATCCAGGCACCCACTAGCACTGGGGAAAGATAAAAAAAGAATAACAGGAAAAAATTTGACCCAAACTGGGCAAGGAGCACTGCTAACCAACCCCGCACAGCCACAACCCGCCGGACTTGGAGACCGCCTTGGGGCGCTACATGGCCACCCACTGTTAGCAGGCTGTCCAAGTTGCCACTCCACTCCACTGGCAGATCTGAGCTCTTCCAGGCACCAACTCCTGCTTGCCCAGTTCCACCCCGCTATTAGCTGGGAAATGCTGGAATTGATGAGGGGACACTTGCTTCGCCACTCCAGGCACTGCATCCATCCACCGTGTCCAATACCCCGCCTTTAGCTGGGGAGTCGTGGAACTGACAAGCGGCGCATCACCTCGCATCTGCCGGAGAGGCTCGCCAGGCCTTGGTCATGGACCATCTTGCATGTGGGAACCAGGTAAGACTTGCACTAGGTCCATAGGGGGAGGACAAAAAAGGAACATGGCCTCTGGCGAGGAGCAAAGATTTATGAGAGTGGGGTCCTATAGCAGAAGAGAGAGCAGGACTAACTGTACATATCCTGCCACGGAGTCTGTTAGGAAACGTATGTTGAAGTTTGATCCTGATGATTTCCTTGTTAAAGATGGTGAAAGATAGTGGTCTTTTTTTTTTTTCAATCCTTTTTTCAGTTTGTATGAAACCACATACATAATTTAAAAGACTGATTAAACAGCTAATAAGGATAGATCAAAGGGTTAGTGAGCTCAAATCTAATATTTAAGCAATCACCAATCATAAATTTCCAGAAGGAGGTCCCCAAAATATGTAGGAAATCATATCTACCCTTAGAGAACAGGGAAGCAATTTTAGATTTTACTGATTTTAGAAACCAGACACAGAGACTAATGTATTGATCGTGCCCAACCTGCTTTAATATCACTGGGAGTATTTGGAAGCAAGATATTAATGTTCCTCATCACTCTTCAATGTTTTTTGTCTGACCTGGTTAGTTGTGATAGACCAAAAAAGGAGGCTTGAACACAATGGTATTTGTTTTAATTATTTCACATGTGTATTACTGTTGGAGCCATTTAGAACCTATAAAGTGCATTTTTATGGAAAGGGTTGTTGTTTTTTTGAATTGGCTATATTATGTGGTCATTTTAAATGCTATAAAAATAGAATTGGCTAAATTTAAAACCTGATAGGAGTCCTGGTGGAATGTGCACATACACTATATTGCTAAAAGTATTGAAACACCTGCCTTTACACGCAGATTAACTTTAATGGCATCCCAGTCTTAGTCTATAGGGTTCAATATTGAGTTGGCCCACCCTTTGCAGGTATAACAGCTTCAGCTCTTTTAGAAAGGCTGTCCACAATGTTTAAGGAGTGTGTCTATGGGAATGTTTGACCATTCTTTCAGAAGCACATTTGTGAGGTCAGGCACTGCTGTCTGATGAGAAGACCTGGCTCACAGTCTCCGCTCTAATTCATCCCAAAGTTGTTCAGGAGGTTGAGGTCAGGAGTCTGTGCAGGACAGTCAAGTTCCTCGACCCCAAACTCGCTCACCCATGTCTTCATGGACCTTGCTTTGTGCACTGGTGCGCAGTCATGTTGGAACAGGAAGAGGCCATCCCCAAACTGTCCCACAAAGTTGTAAGAATGAAATTGTCCAAAATCGTTTTCGTATGCTGATGCCTTAAGAGTTCCCTTCACTGGAACTAAGGGGCCAAGCCCAACCCCTGAAAAATAACACCACACCATAATCCCCCTCCACCAAACTTTACACTTGGCACAATGTGGTCAGACAAGTACCATTCTCCTGGCAACCACCAAACTCAGACACATCTATTGGATTGCCAGACCAAGAAGCGTGATTTGTCACTCCAGAGAACATATCTCCACTGGTCTAGAGTCCAGTGGCGGTGTGCTTTACACGACTGCATCCAACACTTTGCATTGCACTTAGTAAAGTAAAGCTTGGATGCAGCTGCTCAGCCACAGAAACGCATTCCATGAAGCTCTCTCCGCACTGTTGTTATGCTAATCTGAAGGTCACACGAAGTTTGGAGGTCTTTAGCTATTGACATTTGGTGACTTCTGCACACTGTGTGCTTCAACATGCGCTGACCCTGCTCTGTCATTGTATGTGGCCTACCACTTTGTGGCTGAGTTGCCGTTGTTCCCAGTTGCTTCCACTTTGTTATAATACCACTAACAGTTGAGCGTGGAATATTTAGTAGCAATTAAATTTCACAGATGGACTTATTGCACAGGTGGCAACCTATCACGGTTGCACGTTTGAATTCACTGAACTCCTGAGAGCGACTCATTCTTTCACAAATGTTTGTAGAAGCAGTCTGCATGCCTAAGTGCTTGATTTTATACACCTGTGGCCATGGAGGGGATTGGAACACTTGAACCCAATGATTTTGGAGGGGTGTCCTAATACTTTTGGCAATATAGTGTATATCTGGGTATATATAGTTATTTATTGAGATACCTGCAGATGGATGTTGCAGCAAAGTCCAGTCGCAGGGGACCCTGAGGGTGATCTTGATGCAGCGTTTGTCTTAGTGTTAGAGACCTGAAGATAAGATATGCCATGGGGGAAGACCCTCCAGCCATTGTCTAACCAGCCTCTAAAACAGCTTCTCACACGCAGAAACTATGGTGTGGCACTGGAACTCTAAGTTTTAGTCCCTAGTAGTTTCTAATCTGACATACATTGGCTCTAGCCCAGGGATGCTCAACTGGTGTCCCAAAGGGCACATATGACCCAAAGGGCCCTCTGATGTGGTCCCCAAACTCATGCTCTGGGATGGTGGGTCAGCATACCCAGATCATGGGTTGCTGACCCACCATTCTAGAGCATCAGAGTGGATGGAGCTGGCACCAGAAGGAAACAAGCAGCTTCAGAGGGAGCAGGAGCTGCTTAAGCTGGTGCTTCCTCTGTAGTGCCAGCTTTCCCAGGCAAAGTGTATTTGTTTATCACTCCGCCTGGGACAGGAATTTTTCTAACAGACTAGCGATGCCAGCAGAAGCTGAAAGACAAAAAGTTCAGTTTATTAACTGCCTCCTGCCCGCCATATAAGGTAATGATGGGCGCAAGGTGGTTTTCTCGTTCTGGGAGGACATCATATAACTTCCTCCCACTCTAACAGCGCGTGCACACCCCAAGGGGTGCGCAGCATGGTGATCGGTGGTGTGCTGTGTCCCTGGGACACAGGGGATCACCGATCAATGGAAAGAGCCGATGACATCGGCTCTCTCATGTGATCAGCTGTGTCCAGGGGTGGACTGACAACCCATGGGGCCCCCGGGCAATAGGGGATTATGGGGCCACCGTGTCCTTGACCACACCCAAAAAAGCCTATGAAAAAGCCAATGAAAGGTACCAGGGGAATCTCATGGGGCCCCCTACTGACCGTGGGCCCTCAGGCAGTGCCCGAGTGGCTAAATGGTCAGTCCGCCCCTGGCTGTGTCCAATCATGTAAATGATAGTATGCAAACGCTGACAGCTCGAGAGGAGAGCCAGTAATCGGCATTACTCAGAGGGGACTTGTGATGATCAGTGTGCCCTGATGATCAGTGTAGCCCCATCAGTGCCACCTGTCAGTGTCCATCAATGCCACTTGCCAGTGCCCATCAGTGCCACATCAATGCCACATATCATTACCTACCAGTGCACATCAATGCCACATATCAGTGCCCATCTGAGCTGCCTTTCAGTGCCACCTATCAGTACCAGTCAGTGCTGCCTATCAGTGCTGCCAATCAGTGCCACCTATCAGAGCCAGTCAGTGCCACCTATCAGTGCCAGTCAGTGCCGCCTATCAGTGCCAGTCAGTGCCACCTAACAATGCCAGTCAGTGCCCATCAGTGATGCCTGTCAATGCCCATCAGTGCCACCTATAAGTGCCTCCTCCTCATCAGTGCCCATCAGTGCCGCCTATCAGTGCCCATCAGTGCAGCATATCAGTTCCCATCACGGCAGTCTCATTAGTGCATATCAGTGAAGGAGAAAAATCACTTATTTACAGAAACTAAGAAAAAAACTTTTTTTTTTTAAATTTTCAGTTGTTTTTGGTTTGTTTAGCAAAAAATAAAAAACCCAGAGGTGATTAAATACCACCAAAAGGAAGCTCTATCTGTCTCTCAAAAAAAATGATAACAATTTCATCTGGGTACAGTGTTGCATGACTACACAATTGTGATTCAAAGTGCGACTGCACTGAAAGCTGAAAATTGGCCTGGGCAGGAAGGGGGGTATAAATGCCATGTAGGCAAGTGGTTAAACAACACATACTGTAGTTCTGCAATGGGCATATTATTTATTAAATGTTACATAGTTTTGCAATGATGCATATTAGCACTTTAAAATAAAGGGTTATTAGGCTGCTTTCACACTAACCAGTAGAAGCAGTGCAGTGCACCTGATGCTTTCCTGCAGGGTAGCTACACTGAGGAAGGGAAATGGAAGGGGATCTGTTCCACTCCATTTGAGCTAATCAGATCAGAGGGCCCATACAGCAGAGCTATTCAAAATCAAAAAATTTAAGTTAACCTTTCATTTCATTGTGGCCCATGACTGGTTACTAAATCACTTAAGTGGCCTTTGTTCTTCAAAAACGTGAGCACCCCTGCTCTACCTTATGCTGGTTATTGAGACCTGAGCAAAAACGAGCGATAGAATCTTAGCCCAGAAGTGACAGGATTAGCTAAAATAGCAGGAGCTGCATATAAACTCTATTGCAATAAACAAGTTCACCCACTAATATACTGGAAGGTGACCAGTACACACATACAGTAGAACAGACCTAGCTACCTGCACTGTGCATGTGAGATAATAACAAAAGGACAGAGATAAGTCTTTCACAAGGATTTAGATACACACTCAAGAAGCTACTTGTAACTGTAGTTAAACTATTAGAACATAGGAATATTTGTCTAATAGTGTCTGCTCCTGGTCTGTGTAAAAATACAGCAGCAGTAGCAGCCCCTATTTGTATTGGGTCATGTCGCTCAGTTCTCTGTCTCCTTCTCAACTTTCTCCTTCTAGGGTTATTGACCTAGACACACAGAGACAGGAAGTGATGTGCATAAATATTCTCTGTGAACATTAAGCAGCAGAGCCACTTGCAGACAGTAGAGGGCAGATGATCCCTAATCCTTAATCTTACCTAATGTCAAAATAAAGTTAAAGCTATAGAACACGTTAGTTTATTTTAACAGTGTATATATAGTACACAGTATATTCTAGTTAACATACAAATATTTCCACACTGTAACAAGGACACTGCTCACAGTGTGTCTATTTCACTGAAGCCAGAATAGTCTGATATTTGTAAAATGACATGTTTTGCTCAGGTAAATATTACTTGTGTATCATCTGCAGTTTGACATAGTTACTTCCCTTCTTATATCATGCGTTGTAATGACACAGCCAGAGGGGGCTGGATTGTTGGAAACAGCTATGCATATCTAGTCTTGAAAATCATTCCATTTATAGAAGCATTAGATGTGTAACAAAACAGCCTATAAGGTATCTTTCTGCTTCCTAACAGCAGGTTGCCTTATGTATTCAACATCAGCATTTAAGTTCACTGCAGCTAAACTGAATTCATATCAGCAGAAATTTCTATCAAGCAGTAGGGAATGCAGGTCATTTTCCAATGCTGTCTTGCTGGGTTACCATCAGAAATATTTCTAAACCCTGCAAATTATTAAATGGTTGCGCAAAATAATTCACTGTAGGTTTTCACATATGCTGTCACTACACTCTTCTAATGACTACTAAAAATTAGGTATAATTATAACACTTGACTTGTTATTTTTCTTTTGTTGGGTTATTTGGCTCTGCTGGATAAATTATTCTACTTAGGATGGTTTTCACAGCATTTTTATTGTTTCCTAAATACAGAATTGTTACTTGAAACTGTGCCAGATACCTCCAGTGTGATGCACCATCATACTTTGGCCTTGCAGATCACTGAGGCTACAAGTTTGGGCTCCTTTTTGAGCAGCACTGGGTTAGAGTTTTGAGGACATTTTAAGGAAATGTAGGCTGGATGCTTTTCTTTCCTACAGAGGAACATCTGGACTTGTAGATGATTAAATCAGTGCATCATGAACACGAGCACGAGTATGACATTAGATGCTTGGATTTGTTTTGCTAATACAGCTTAATTATAAGACTTAGCAAAAAATGCAGCAGCAATGTTTTGCTATATTGCTGTTCATGATGCACTAACCTCCAAACTTGGATGTTCTCTTTGTGTGGTTTGTTTTTCATGGATTGTCAAGTTCTACAGAAGCAAAGTTGGGGTCAGGCACTGACTCTAGGGTGGAGATCGACAAGTACCCCCTGCAGCAGTAGATCTGTTGTTGTTTATGCTTAGTGCACATGGTATTTTTTAGAGCATAATTTACATTGACTTTTTGTAATCCTTAGGCTGCTAGCATTAGTAAATAGATAGGAAAGTAGATCATATTTACTTGTTTTAAACAGGTTTTTTTTTACAATTCTTCTGTTAATTCCCTGTTTCCAAGCCTTGGCAAATTATGTCATACATTGCAGGAGTCTTCAGGAGGGATGGAGGGTTTTTCTCAGCTAAGGACACCCTCCTGTCTGCATGCCTGACCTAAGGGCAGATGGATTCCAGGAAGTAAATGCTGCATGCATCATCTGCTTTTACTTAAGATGACCATAGCTAAAATAGCCAGGGGGCTGTTTTTCAAAGTGACTTATCAGCAAAATCAAGCATGGAGACATGAATGGATGGGTAAGATTGCTTTGAATATTAAAAATGAATAAATTGCGTTTTTGGTTTGTGGTGCTCAGATGCAGTGTAGTTCCACTTTAAGGTAGCGATTTACAAATCATTGAAGGTGGCACTTTTGGGGGTTAGCCAGACCTATGTTGATCAGGAATTGGTTAACATCAGATGTGTAAATATACACTGCTCAAAATAATTAAAGGAACACGTTTTAAGCAGAGTATAGCATCAAGTCAATTAAACTCCTGGGATATTGATCTGGTTAGTTAAATAGCAGAGGGAGTTGTTAATCAGTTTCAACTGCTTTGGTGTTAATGAAATTAACAACAGGTGCACTAGATGGGTAGCGATAAGACAACCCCCCAAACAGGAATGGTCTTACAGGTGGAGGCCACTGACATTTTTTTCCCTACATATCTTTTCTGTTTTTCACTAGTTTTGCATTTGGCTAGGGTCAGTGTCACTACTGGTAGCATGAGGCGATACCTGGACCCTGCAGATGTTACACAGGCAGTCCAACTCCTCCAGGATGGCACACCAATATGTGCTATCACCATAAGGTTTGCTGTGTCTCCTAGAACAGTTTCAAGAAAATGTAGGAGATTCCAGGAGACAGGCAGTTACTCTATGAGAGCTGGACAGGGCCAAAAAAGGTCCTTAACCCATCAGCAGGACCAATATCTGCTCCTTTGTGCAAGGAGAAACAGGATGAGCACTAGCATAGCCCTACAAAATGACCTCCAATAGGCCATTGGTGTGAATGACTCTGACCAAACAATCAGAAACAGGCTTCATGAGGGTGGCCTGAGGGCCCGACGTCCTCTAGTGGGGAGGCCCTGTGCTCACTGGACGGCACCATAGAGTTCGATTGGCATTTGCTATTGAACACCAGAATTGACAGGTCCACCACTGTTGCCCTTTGCTTTTCACAGATAAGAGCAGGTTCACCCTGAGCACATGTGGCAGACATGAAAGGGTCTGGAGAATCCGGGATAGAACATTATGCTGCCTGTAACATCGTTCAGCACGACCGTTTTTGTGGTAGGTCAGTGATGGTCTGGGAAGGCATATCCAGGAAGGGACGCACAGACCTCCACAGGTTAGACAATGGTACCCTGACTGCCATTAGGTATTGGGATGAAAACCTTGGATCCATTGTCAGACCCTATGCTGGTGCAGTGGGTCCTGGGTTCCTCCTGGTGCAAGACAATGCCCGGCCTCATGTGGCGAGAGTATGCAGGCAGTTCCTGGAGGATGAAGGAATTGATACCATTGAATGGCCCCCACGCTTGCCTGACATAAATCCAATAGAACACCTCTGGGATATCATGTTTCGGTCCATCCGACACCGCCAGGTTGCACCTCAGACTGTCCAGGAGCTCAGTGATGCCCTGGTCCAGATCTGGGAGGAAATACCCCAGGACACATCCATGGTCACATTAAGAGCATGCCCCGTCATTGTCAGGCATGCATACAAGCACATGGGGGCCATGCAAACTACTGAGTACCATTTTGAGTTGCTGTAATGAAATTTCAGCAAAATGGACAAATAAATAGTCTGCTGCATCATTTTTTCACTTTGGATTTCGGGGTGTCTTTGAATTCAGTCCTCTGTAGGTTGATCATTTTCATTTCCATCAAACGATGGGGCATCCTTACATTCCTAACACATTACCCAGTTCATATCAGTATAGATATTCAGCATCAGATTTTTCCCAATTGAGTTCTGATGTGTTTTCAAAGTGTTTCTTTAATTTTTTTGAGCAGTGTATACAAAATATATCCCTATCTAACCTAGATAATTTAAATCCTTAAGGGCCAATTCACCATGAAAGAGTTAATGCATTGTTGTGCCTTTCATTTTGAATTGCACCTTCAAGCTACTGTACATGCTTTTATACAGTCAGGTCCATAAATATTGGGACATCGACACAATTCTAACATTTTTGGCTCTTTACACTACCACAATGGATTTGAAATGAAATGAACAAGATGTGCTTTAACTGCAGAGTGTCAGCTTGAATCACTGTTGTAATTCCTGCACCGTTCACCTGATTTGGATG